TGAGGGGCACAGGATCAGCGTCATGTTGTCATGTGCTATGGCTTCAGATCAAAAAAACATGTTGAAATTCAGGTTGGGGTGATGCCGCAAAACAACTGCCACTGACAGTATTGAATCGAAGTTCAATTGATCCCCCAAACTGGAAACTCCAGTTGGAGTGGTGTCATCCCTGCAAAAAAGCCTTTGACATGTCCCCCAAATTGGAGTGATGTGCCATCCCCGCAAAACAAAAAGCAGTTGACATGTTTCAATCGATCCCCCAAACTGGCTTTGCAGTGATGTGCCATCAAACTGGCCCCACAAAAAAAGCAGTTGACATGTTCAATCGATCCCCCAAACTGGCATTGCAGTGATGTGCCATCCCGGGAAAACAAAAAGCAGTTGATATGTTTCAGCCGATCCCCCAAACTAGCTTTGCAGTGATGTGCCATGTCCATAAAACAAAAAGCAGTTGACATGTTTCAATTGATCCCCCAAATTGGCCCCACAAACAAACCATTGACATGTTTCAATCGATCCCCCAAACTGGCCCCACAAAAGAAGCAGTTGACATGTTTCAATCGATCCCCCAAACTGGCTTTGTGCAGGGATGTGACATCCCCACAAAACAAAAAGCAGTTGACATATGTATTTCAATCGATCGCCCAAACTGGCCCCACCAAAACAAAACGTGTTTCAATCGATCTCCCAAACTGGTCCCACAATGAAAACAGTTGACATGTTTCAACCGATCCCCCAAACTGGCTTTCCAGTGATGTGCCATCCCCACAAACAAAAGGCAGTTGACATGTTTCAATCGATCCCCAAGTGAAATTCAAGTTGGAGCGGTGCCATTGACAATCGAGCCCCGAAATTGGTGTATCATTGACAGACAAATTGGTGTATCATGACCAGTGAAACCCCTTGCCTGAAAAATCTACCCGCTGGGCAGGTGGACATGATGCAAACCCACAAGACTACCTTCGATGAGGTTCTCACCCAGTTGGAGTCAATGCTGGCGCCGGTGCTGAAACAGCACCGCAGCAAGGCAGGCTCCAAGGCAAAGGCCAAAAGCAAAGCCAAGGCCAAGTAGGCAAACACTGGGATTTTCAAGGCTGAGATTCAACACAGTCAAGTTGCTCCATGTGAAACTCAAATTAAATGTACCTCACTTCGGGGGTCTCTTGCGTGGGCCAATGTTGAACCAAATTGAATGAATCATTCAGAAACTCAGACATGTTGGGAAGTTGTCGGAAATCAGCCGGAGCCCTCTGGCCTGAATCTGGCCAGTCATGCGGGGAAGCCCTGGCCAGCACGGGGAATGCTGCCGATCGGGCACTGACTTTAGGGTGACGTGTCTGGGCTATCCCAGGCAAGCTCAGCATTTGCGTGTGCGACAAAAAATCTGCCATTGGGTGGCCTGTGATCCTGCACAGTCTCAAGGGTTCAAATTGCATGTCTGTTGCACAAGTGACAGTGTGTGCGGACTTCAGTGCCTGTACCATGACAGGCCCAGATCCCCCTGAAGACACTCAGCCCTGGCTACAAAACTTATTGGAGAAGCTTGGTGATGGTGTCTGGGCCTCACAAATTGGCTAACTTTCAGCTGACACCAACTGCGATGCTTCCCAGGCAGCCTCCATTGGATCGCTCATGCGGGACACGCAAACCATGCACGAGGCCCGTTGGTTGATTTCAGTCAGTGCCTCTGCGAAAAGGCAGACCCTGGATATCCCTTAATTCATCATCTGTTTACTCACCAGTTTTCCTGGGTCCCAGTGCACTGCTGACTGTCGTTGCAATTGCTGTTGCTGATTGCTGCTACGCCAGGAGTCCTGTGGCCATGTGAGACGCATCTCGAAGAAGCTGGCTGGCTTCAAAGGAGCTGGCAATGCAGCGCGCGATTTCGGCCGGTGGGTGAGGCCTCCAATTGCTGCTCAGCCTTGCCAGCCCTTTTGTCTCATGTTGCCCCTTGCTGCACCAAAAAGAAAAGATTTGTGCATCTTCCTGATGGCAAATTGACAGCTCTGAAATCACATGGAGGACCGGTGTGGAGATTGTTTCCCTGTGCAATTTCTCAATAAGCCAAAGCATTGTACCTAGTGGCCCCCACCCCAAACACAAAATGATTTGCTGTGTGAGGGCAGGTTTTCCCATTAGACGACTGGCAACCTTGAAAGACATGAGCCCTGCTATCCCCACCATAAAATTTATGTTTTACCCCAAGCATGCCTTGCAAGTCCCCCCCCCCCCGGCCCAAAAAAAGCTTCGAGCTGTAGAGGTTGCCGCTCAGTTTCAAACAAGTGCAGAGTTGGATTGGTTGAGTTGTTTGATAAAAGAACTCATGGATGGCATATTGACAGCCCTGACCCAAATCTGACATCCTGTGGACCTATCGAAAGAATCTGGGAGTGGAGTTAAAGGGACTGACTTTCAACACGTTTTTCCAGCACAGACCTTCCAGGTCCAGGTTGCCCCACTGAAGCAGTCACAGCATACAACACTGACACTCTGCTGCACCTCAGGAACCTTGCTTCGTGACGGTTCCCATTTCAGCAGGCATCGAGGGCAAGTGGACGTATTGGGAGTGCCCGATGCTGGCCCCATCAGCTGTGGTGCGCTACCTCTGGGACAACTGCGGACTACAAGAGCGTGTCGATGCAAACACTGTCAACAACTACTGGCGCTGGGCCCGGGAGTGCAATGTTCCCTTTGCACAGCGGGTCCTTGGGGACCATCATGTTCCACTGAAGCTGTTCGGTGACGACGCCCGCCTCCACCGCTCAACACAGGAGACTCAGTCGTCCAAAGCCAAGCTTCTGACTTTTGGTTTTCCAGTTTTGGCCCACGTCAACATTTTTGGGCAAGTAGGAGAAAGTCTACGCGATTTTCCTCTCCTGCCCGCTCTTTCGCCCACGGTGCGGGAGGCAGTCGAGGTGGCTTCTGTGGTCATGCCGCTCCTCGCTGTTTGTGGGGCAAGCCACCTTGGCCGGTTTTGGCAGCAATGGTGGCGTCGTTCTGGTCAATCTACAGTCTGACCGCGCCGTCCTGGATGGTCACAGAGATAGGTGGGGATTGGAAGTGGTTGAGAGAGCTCTTCCAGTTCCAGGCTCACTGGAATGCTGATCGTATCTGTCATTTCTGTCCACAGTCCATGCAGGACTATGCAGCGACTGAGTTGGTCAAAGCCTGCCGTTTTGATCTTTGGGCTTTTGGGTTAGTAGATGCTAACTGGTCCATAGTCCACCTCTTGTTTCCACGGCACCTTTGTACGGCTGAGGCACTCCATGAGCCAACTTGGGACTCCACAGCTGAGTTCATATCAACGCAGCTGCCAGCAGACCCCACGCCACTGATCCTGTTGCCTGGATTTGACATCAGCATGATCCAGCTGTGCCAGCTCCACAACCTCAATTTAGGTTTGCTTTGGACTGCCAATGGGAGTGCGCTGCTGTATCTCATCAGTGTAGGGTACTTCGGCAACCCGGACCCAGCCGTCACACTCTTGAAAGACCTCCTTGAGATTGCGTATCAGGATTTTCTGGCTTGGGCCTCTGGCCACCGTGTCCGCCACTCGCAGCGGAAATTTACAGTGGGCTTGGTCGTCAAACAATCCTCAGGTGGGTACTTGACCTCCAAGGGGCATAATAGCCGCGTGCTGGTCGAGTGGCTCGCAGACACTTGCCTCAAAGCTGTGCGAAAAGAGTTTAGCCTCCCAGGGCGCACTTTTGGCAAGTGGATTCTGAGCCAGCAGGCAGACCCTGCCCCTGACGAGTTTTTGGTGCCCACTACTGTGGCCTTGACACTTGCCTGTGACATTGCCTTTTTTTCTGTAGAGTGCAACACTGCTCCGTGTGACAAATTTGCAGGCTGTGTCAAGTCAAGTCGTTGACCCCGCCAAAGCCTCCTGAGCTGTCAAAGGGTTTTATGACTTGGTGACCAAGCTTATCAGCCAGGCTATTCCAAAGCATCGCCATTGTTATTCGTTTTATTGGCTGTGTGTGGCAATTCCCCACTCCTTTTTCTATTCCTCTGAGATTATTCTGTTGGCTCTTTTGATTGGGTTTGAGCTCTCCTGCAGCACAAACAAACTAGGCACTCCATTGTTGCTGGGTCTATCCTGCCCAGCTCAGGCTGTCCATTTGCCGGTACTTTGGCATTTCAGAGCGATCCCCGCGGTTCTTGGCAGACTCTGCTGGGCCAGAGAGCTTGGGCTGCAACCCCAAAAAGCTTCAATTCGGTCAGAATAGGCTGTGGCTCCCCAGTGTCCATCCATCATGGCCCACCTGGATTCGAATGTCTGTGTCTGTATGCCAACATTCACCTGGCTTGTTGCCATGTTAAGGATGGCAGCCTTGGCGCTGGACATGTTCGAGTCTGGGCGCACTTTCCTGGAGATGAGCCGGCTCCTCAACCAGCTCTCGATGAGGAGACACCTTAAGTTGTGGCTGCTGAAGCCAAAGTTCCACATGTTTTTTGAGCAGCTCTGTCGCTTAAAGCGCTGGCGCATGAATGCCCGGTTTACGCATGGGTTCGTCGACGAGGACAGTATGTGGTGGCTTCGGCAGGTGGGTGAAAAAGTTCACCCTAGGACCTTTGAGCTGTCAGTTCTCAAACGTGGGGCCTACCGGATGCAGGCTTCACAGCTCCGGTGGGCCCGCATAGAGCGCAAACGTGCGCGCCTGCAGTGAGTGGTAAAAAAGGCGAAATCTGGGCCATCATTGACCCAATTCAGGCTGTGTAAAGCACGGGGGCCCCACGTAACTATTTACAACGACCTGAGTTTTGCAGGGGGTGTTTCACACGACCTTACTTTGGCGGGTGGCTGGAATTTGAAGGCAACAAAGGCAACTTCCCTAGGGGAGGCGTTTCCCGATCCGACTTCAATGTTGCAAAAGATGACCTGCTGCAACTGACCATCAAGCTAAAGCCTAGAAGCCTAGGGAATGCAGCAGCACTATGCTACAGCAATGTTCACCCGCTTTCCAACTCAACTGACCTCTTTAACAAGGGCAATGCTCCTTGATGCAAACCAGCACGACCAACATAAGCAGCGGCTGCAAGAGCAAGAAGGTCCCGAAGCTGACACAAGCACTTATGAGCCATCTCTGGCTGTCGAAGATGTGGGCATTGGCGACGAAAAGGCAAATGGCAACTTCCTGAAAGCGCTGTGGGATGCTTGAATGCTGGGGGAGTGCATGTCACACTTACAACTGTGTCCAAAAATCAGTTCTCAAGGCAAGCCAAGCCACACAAATGACAACGTAGCCGCCGACAAAGGCCCAAAATAGCATGCGTTTCTGCCTTGTGCCTTTCGCCACAGCGATTAGTAGCTGAAGAGGCAGCAGCCCAAAGATGCTCGAGAGCCAGGCAATCAACGCTGCCACGAGAAACGTCGATGGGTTCTCGCGTGCTTCACATGGCGTAGGAACGAGGCTCAGGAAGATCGCTGCGACGGCCCATCCGCTGTAAAGCTCGGCCAGCAGCAAGGCGCTCCGCTGCCTGCAGGAAGACTGCCATTCCGGCCTGAAGACTTGGAGCCACCGGCACGATGCGAACCTCAGGCACCCCGTCACGTAACTGAGCTTGCACGGAGCAAAATCGTAGCCCAGCGAAAGCAAAGATACAGCCTACCTATGCATGTACAATGGCATCCTCTGCCTTTGTTGGCATTGCATCTATTGATGCCAAGTGACATCAGCATTGCCCGCCTCCGAGCGCTGTCAGCATAGAATCTCTGAAGAAAAAACTCTGCTTCCCCGTGCACTGCAGTTCGCCCACCGACCGCATGAAGTTTGTCTAAATACGGAATATCAACGCCCAGCTGAGGCCGCAATACCTCCGGCCCGCCAAGCATCCGTGGCAAACCCTCCCCATTTCTCCCCACATAAGTTTCGCCCCCTCATAAGCACCCAGTCACAGGGCCATTGCACAAATGGCGCAGCCTCTCATAATGTCCACCTATTGAGGGCAAAGGTCGGCAATTAGACTGTGGGTTCACTAGAGCGTCTTCGGCGAACATGTGCAAACCCAAGCCTGCGAACGCTTGCGAATGCACAACATGTTACCAAAAAAACAGGCCAGCCCGAAGCTTGCCAACCCAGCCGGCGTGCGAGCCAAACAGCCGAACCCTCGCGAACCCCAGAGGTTTTGCCCTTACAGCCTGTGATCGTCAATCCCGTCGAGAACGAAAGCCACATGTTCCTGCGACACAACCGCGCCTACACAATGAAAACACACACACACACACCCTCCCTGTTGAGCCCAACGTAGTCCTTAGATCTTTCGGGCGTTGCCTCGCTCCAAACAACACCTCTAATGACTGCGGAAAGTTGCCCGCAGTGCAGGGACCTAGAATAGGCCACTAAATCATATGATTTCGTTTGTTCCGCGAAGAACATGCTCAGCCCAAACCTCCAGCTGGGATATTCCATAGGCAGAGAGCCAATTTGGCATTTGGAAACCTTTGCTTTGCTTCTCAATTCTCAGCTTTGGACGTCGCCAGAATCACATTCCCCACCTTGTATAGCAAGTAGCCCCCAAGCAGATCCAGCAGGGGGTCCCGTAAGCTCCCCTGAGTAACGATCTCTGATGCTTCCCATGGGCGAACCTCCAACCCCAGCACTAAACCAATTGCGTTCTGCATTCGCCAGGTCAGATTTAGGCGCATCACTTTGGCAAGATCAGGTGCAGATTTCGTGGCGTCATGGCCCCGTCGCGGTCCCGTCGTGGCCCGGGAAAGCTACGGGAAGATCTGTCGTGGACGGGCTAGCTTTGTTGTGACCAAGCAATCTTTCGTGTGTCAGGGTTTAGCCGTGCAAGGAAGTCTGCAGGTTCCTAGACGTTCCTTCCTTGTGACTTGGTCACCTCCTGCCCGCTGGCCTGGGAGTGCAAGAAGCTTGCCAGCTTCTGGCGTCTCGAAGCCGATCCGATGCACGCCTTGCCCCTGGCCTTCAAGACGGCCATGCGATCTTTGCTCTTCAGGTCCTGCCAAGAGCAACTTCGAACCGCCGGGGCAAATTCTCAGGATAGGAAAATCGTTCTCAGAGCAACATCAGAATCCACCTTTGAAACTTTGGGGGGTTGTGCAAGAGCTGGGTTTCGGCCCTGGATTTGCACCTTTTTGGCTCGAGCAATCGGAACAAACCTGGCGATACGCCGGTGGAGCAGTTCTGCAGCTAAGAGTCGACCCTCCGCGCCAGGACTAAGAAGCCGATGCCCACGGCAAGCGATGCCCAGTTTGCCACAGCTGCGGCCCGTGCAGGCCAAGAGACGTCTGAGGCATCTGCATCAAAGCCTTGCATGGCCCCATCCCTCCCCTCCATTTGCGAGGCCTTCTCTAGCACACAGCAGCTTTGTGGCTATATGCGAATCGCACAAGCATGGCACCGAGTTCAAACCCTCTCATTTAAAACTGCCATGCCCCTTCCCGAACACTTGCCAACACAGACGTTGATGGATGCCATTAAAACTAAAAAAAAAAAACGCAAGTTGCCACTTTTGAGTGGGGGCTGCAGGGCGCGGCAGCCATCGGCCGAAGAATCACCGTAAAAACGGTGAAGTGTGTCGTCGCACAAAGCACCGATCGCTCGGTTCCGCCGGGCTGGCGCGAAACCCCCCTGGTGGACCACGAGCTGGTCTCCTGAGCCGTGACAGCTCTTTTGGGAGCCACAGCTTGGACCCCTAGGGGGGGGTATGAGGGGGGGGGCTATCCCTGGACAAGCCCTTCATAAGGCCTTACAGTGGGGGGGGGGGTTTAACAAGGGATAGCTCCCCTTAAAAAAAGCGCGCCCTCCTCATCCCAGTACGCGCACTCCATATCGTCTGTGAGGTTTCCGGACACTGGCAGGCTGAACTGCACTGGCGCCGGGAGCTCGCCAGCCAGCGCGCCTCCCTCCAAGGTAGACATTGAAATCGTGAGAAGCGTCCCGGCGACAACCTCGGAGCGCTTTCATTGCCCAACTACTCCCAATCAAACAGAATGGCAAACCGGGCACGTCAGCCCAAAGTTCCGAGACGGCAGTGTGTTCTATGCTTTAGCCATGCAGTGCATCTTTGCACAACTCTGCATAACAAGGCACTCTTGTGCCGTCAGTCAAGCCATTGAAGGTCTGGAACTCATTGCTGGCCTGCCAGCATCCCACATCCCTCGAAAGCACATTCCAAAGGATTTTGCCCTATGCACCGAGTGCAGGGTGCACTTGGCCGCTCGTTCCCACCCTCAACAAACAGGAACGCCCAAAATGTGGCCAAAGATTTGCCAAAGTGGAGCCCAACCCGACTAGTGAGCCCTAGCTAGCCTTCTCACTGCGGATGATGCGCTTGATGTAGGATAGCAAGAAATTCGGACTCCTACTGTAGAACGTGTTTTTCCTAACGCGGAATCCTGTGACAGTTGTGGGGTCCGCCAGTATAGAACGTTTGTCCCAAAGCACCAAGACCCTGCCAGCTCAGAGGCTAAAGGCCTTAGATGTAGGAATTCCGCTTGAAGCCGCCCCCAGGCCATCAGGTTTTACATATCAAGCTCTTTTAAAGCACCAAGGCCAAGCAGTCACACACACACAAACGGCGGTAGCCCACAAGACAAGAGCCCCTGATCTTCTGTAGTCCGACTGTTGTGGCGCATCTTTAAAGGCGAGCTGCTTTTTTGGGGGGGTGTTTGGGTCGGGGCGAAACTCCTAGCTCCAAGCCTTAGCTCTTACTTTTAAAGAGGTTCATCCAAGCCCTTCCCAGCTCAGGGGCTAAATGCCTTAAATCAGGCAATACACATTTTAGTACTGGAAATCTGGGATTCAGCATTGGTAATATTACTTTTACTGCTGCCGGTGGTCAGTTTAGCATCAGCTCAAGCCCAACCCAAATTCTCAAGTTCCCCACAAAAGAGGTTCATAATGACTCTTTGCACCGTTGGAAGGGGGGCAACTCTCAAGCAGGTCCAACATCCCCCCGTTGCAGAATCCTCATTTTCGGAATGTGCAGCCTATCTGGGTATGAACTGTTTGACACCCGGGGCAAAGGCTAGCAGTGGTTGAAGCCAGCTAGTTGTATGGTGCATCTGCGTCAACAGCATATCATGATTTGGCAGCCATTTCGAATTGAGTTGCTTTGGGGGGGAATACGCAGCGACATGCCATTTGCAAAGTCCCCCAAACAGAGTGTTTTGTTGGAGAAGATTTGCACCTCAAACCAGAAGTTCCACGCTCTCCCTGAAGAACCTAGTAGTAGCTGTAGTATTTACATTTAGGCATAAGCGCGACCTTCGTGAGCGTGCAAAGGCCAACCAGGCACCCATTGTGCTTGCCTCTAAGATGAATACATTATGATTTGTGTTGGCAATGTGTCCGCAGAATGCGAGTTCATGTTTGATAGTTTGCAAACTTTGTGCCATTGACGCTGCGGGTGCATGTGAAAGCCGGTCCTTTTGATCGGTAAGTTTGGATAGAAATAGACGGGTTCCACTGGTTAGAATGACTTAAATTTGGCTGTATGCCATCCATTTGTCATGGAAACCCATCTATGGCACACAAAAGGACACCTATGGGTCAAGTATCAGCCAGGCTGGACAAGCGCACGCCTCAGGAAAGAGCGCCACAGAAACGCCAACGGCACTGTTGGTGCCAGCTTGCAGGCCCTCTAGCACAGCGCCAGGAATATCCACCTCGATTCCGGACTCGATTCCGGACGGTAAAGGGGCAACACATGAGCGAACGCATGCAGTGCGGATGGGAGCGCCTCACTCTCTGCGAAGCTGATCAGAAGGGAGCTGGAATTGTTTGGCAGCACTGCTCTCGTGTCAAACACCGCTCCATCAAGGGTCTGGATCCGCTTCTCAAGCAGCGTTGCCACTCCGTCCAGGTATGTGGCATTCTCAGCAAGCCCCGCGGCTGCGGTGAGCACATTGGTGATGTCTTGCTCCTGAGGGCAACGCTGCGCTGCTCCATTGACACATGCTGATTTGCGGCCATGGGAGGGAGAGCTAGGGCGAGCCATGAAGGAGCAGCCGGAATCAGTATTGGACAGTCACCCATGTGCTCGAGATGCTGTGCCACAACCAGCCCCTGAATGAACATATATCAAACATGACAATGTAGGCAAGAAGCGGAGAAAGAGAGAGATAGAGAGAGAGAAAGAGCGGGAGAAAAATAAATAAATAAATAAATAAAGAAAGAAAGAAAGAAAGAAGGACAGAAATGAAGAAATACATAAATGAAGAACGAAAGAGAGAAACCGAGCAAGAACAAAAACGAGTGAAAGCAAGAGAGAAGCCAATCAAGACAAGAACAACAGAAATAAGGAAAGCGAGAAATCAAGCAAGAGAAAAAGAAATGAAGAAAGAAAGAACAAATAAAGATATATATCTATATATATATTGCCAAAGAAAGAAGGAACACAATCAATAAGAATATGTTAACATAAAACAAAAAGAAATAATCCATTCAGGAAAACAGACAGAAAGAAAGAAAGACATGAATACAGAACAGAAAATCAAACAATAAAGAACGACTAAACAAGCTAAAACTCAACATAGTACAAACAGGATTATATAAAGACTAGAACCAAATAAACAACGGAATAAAAAAACACATAAACAAACGAATACATACACAAACAAAAAACCAACAACAAAAACACAAACACCGAGAACAAACCAGATAAATCGTTTGGAAACACCAGCAAGACAGAAACCAATCAATGAAGAAAGACAGAACTATATCAAGAGTGACACAATGAACAAAATACATAAATAATAAAAGAACAAACACGACAATGAATACATAAAGTGTAACAAACAAATGAATAAATAAAATAAAGAAAAAACAACACATAAAGATCGAGACCTTTAGAGATAAAAATATGAAGAGCTGATGACACAATAATAAGGACCGTACATCACGTCGCGGGCAAGCACATGATGTGTTGAAAGACGTTGGACGGCACTTGCCGGCGAGCGCTTGCAAATCCGTGCGTCTCCAGGCTGTCATCGGAAACCCAACAAGGAATCTAAACCGTGTGATGAATATCATGTGACATGTGCATCTCTGCCCGGAGCGCTGCGACAAACTTTGGCTTCCGGTGCTCTCCTGGCTTCCCGTGATATCCTGCGCCGCAAGGGTGGCACTTTCTCCTGCATCGCTGCCCACGTAGTTGGCCATGGTGCGGCTCGCTGTTGTGGTGGTTGATGTGCCTGGCGTGTTGCCTGAATCTAGCACATCTTTTGCCCTTGCTTCCTAGCAGGCACAAGCAAACCACAGCATCGCGCAAACACCTACATACCTGCACACACCCCTTCCCCAAACCAGCATCCCAGCAAAAAGCAAAAACTGCTTTTGTCAGGGCATCTCTTGACTCGCCCCTACAGCAGCCTGACAACTACTTGCTGACACCACTTGAGAGTCAGCAGTCAAATGTTCTTGCCCTCACGAGTAAGAATTTAAACGCTGTGAGCAGCCGTCAACTTCTCAGCATCTGCTTGTGGCACAACTATTCCCAGGAGTGTCTGGTGACATTGATCCTGGCAACAATAGCCAACCAAACGAAGAAGTAGCCTGGCCTGATCTGGTGGTCGTGAGCGTTGCAGATGTGGCAGCGGTGCTCAATGTAAACGTTGCAGTGGTTGTGACTGTGGTTGATGGCCCGGCCTGTAACAAACTAGTGCTGGTGGGAGCTATGCTGGCACTGCCCTGGCTAAAGCTAGAAGTGCTTGTCCTGCTTCGAAGGCGGCTTTGGGTGGTGGCGGTGGTGCTATCTAGCCCCGTACCTTGACTGACAGCTGTGGTGGTGCTGACGCTGCCTTGTGATCCAAAATGGGATGTTGTTGTCACATGCGTAGTTGTTCGGGTTGGAAATCTTAAGGTTCTTGTGGTTTCTGTCGCCGTAGAGGTTGCAGTCGATAGGCCAGCGGAAGTGGTGACAATTATCGTTGTTGTCGTGGGAGCTTCTGCAGTTGTTGTACGAGTTGGACGGGGGGGTCGAGTTGTAGTGGTCAAGGTGGTTGTGGCCGTTGCTGCGAGAGCTGCTGCGGTTGTCGTCTGAGTTGGTGGCTGCTGGCCGTCTGCAACGGTGGTTGTCAGGCTGGTGGAAGAGATTGTCGTGGGAGCTTCTGCAGTTGTTGTACGAGTTGGACGGGGGGGTCGGGAAAGAGTGGTAGTGGTCAGGGTGGTTGTGGCCGCTGCTGTGAGAGCTGCCGCGGTTGTCGTTGTGGCCGCTGCTGTGATAGCTGCTGCGGTTGTCGTCTGAGTTGGTGTGGTCCTGCGTGGCGGGAGTGTCCTGGTTGTAGTTGTTGTGTGAGCAGTGGAAGCAAGGGCTGTGGTTGTTGCAGCCGCAGAAGTCAGGGCAATGGAAGAAGTCGTAGGCGCCTCGGCGGTACTTGTTGACAAGGTGGATGTTGTCAACATCATGGTTGCACTGGAGGCTGCAGTTGTCGTGTGAGCTGGCGGGGGTGGGGTAACAAAGGTGGTGGTCAGCGTGATGGAAGAAGTCGTAGGCACCTGGGCGGTAGTTGTTGACAAGGTGGACGTTGTCCACGTCATGGTTGCACTGGAGGCTGCAGTTGTCGTGAAAGTTGGCGGGGGTGGGGTAACAAAGGTGGTGGTCAGCGTGATGGAAGAAGTCGTAGGCACCTGGGCGGTAGTTGTTGACAAGGTGGACGTTGTCCACGTCATGGTTGCACTGGAGGCTGCAGTTGTCGTGAAAGTTGGCGGGGGTGGGGTAACAAAGGTGGTGGTCAGCGTGATGGAAGAAGTCGTAGGCACCTGGGCGGTAGTTGTTGACAAGGTGGACGTTGTCCACGTCATGGTTGCACTGGAGGCTGCAGTTGTCGTGAAAGTTGGCGGGGCGGGAACAAAGGTGGTGGTTGCAGGCAGCGGGGTATCACTTAGGGTGGTTGAGGTAGCTGTTGTCAAGGTCGCCGTGGCCGTGTGAGTTGGCGGAATTGGCGCAGCGGTGGCAGTCGTCGGAGTGCCAGAAGTGGTCGTGATACTTGTGGTCAAACTAGCTGTTGTCGAGGATCTCGTTGTGCTTGTTTGAGAGGTGGCAGTTGTAGTCTGTGGTTGCGTCGTAGTCGGAATCATTGGAAGAGTGCTGGTCATGGTCCAGGTGATTGTGACTGGAAGCCCCGGGCCCAATCTGGAATGGGTCGGCCACGCAGACGCTTGAGGCTTGGCCTGGCAAGATTGAACCAGTCAGTGAAGAAAGAAGCGCACAAGCAACCACACATACACGCAGGCGTGCAAGCAAGCAGGCGACCAGGCAAGTAGGCAAGGCGGGCGGGCGGGCGGGCAAGCAGGCAAAAGCAAGCAGGCAACAGCAAGCAGAAAAAAGCAAGCAGGCAAAAGCGAGCAATCAAGCAAGCAGGCAAGCAGGCAGGCAGGCAGGCAAGCAAGACGGCAAGCAAGCAACCAAGCAAGCAAAGCAACCAAGCAAGCAAAGCAATCAAGCACGCAAAAGCAAAAGCAGGCAAGCAAGATCGCAAGCAAGATTGCAAGCAATCAAAAGCAAGCAAAAGCAAGCAAAAGCAAGCAAAAGCAAGCAAAAGCAAGCAAAAGCAAGCAAAAGCAAGCAAAAGCAAGCAAAAGCAAGCAAAAGCAAGCAAAAGCAAGCAAGCAAGCAAGCAAAAGCAAGCAAAAGCAAAAAGCAAGCAAAAGCAAGCAAAAGCAAGCAAAAGCAAGCAAAAGCAAGCAAAAGCAAGCAAAAGCAAGCAAAAGCAAGCAAAAGCAAGCAAAAGCAAGCAAAAGCAAGCAAAAGCAAGCAAAAGCAAGCAAAAGAAAGCAAAAGCAAGCAAAAGCAAGCAACAAAAGCGAAAAAAACAAACAAAAAAAACAAGCCAAAAAAAGCAAGCAAGCAAGCAAGCAAGCAGGCGAGCATGCATGCAAGCCAGCAAGAAAGCCTGCATGCAAGCACGCAAGCGAAAGCAAGAGAAAGCAAGCAAGCACGCAAGCGAAAGCAAGCGAAAGCAAGCAAGCGAAAGCAAGCAAAAGAAAGCAAGCGAGCAAGCAAGCAAAAGCAAGCAAGCAGAAGAAGGCAAGCCAGCCAACAAGCGAGCACGCACGCACGCAAGCAAGGAAAAGAAAGCAAAATAAAGCAAGCAAACAAGCAAGCAAGCAAGGAGGAAAACAAAAAAAAAGCAGGCAACGAAAGCAAGCAACGGAAGCAAGGAAGCAGGAAAGCAAAGCAAGGAAGCACGCACGCACGCAAGAACGTACGCACCCACACACGCCAACACACACAGACACACACACAGACACACAGACAGACAGACAGAGACAGAGACAGAGACAGAGACAGAGACAGAGACAGAGACAGAGACAGAGACAGAGACAGAGACAGAGACAGAGACAGACACAGACAGACAGACACAGACAGACAGACACAGACAGACAGAGACAGACAGACAGACAGACACAGACAGACAGAC